GAAAGTCCGACTGGAACCGGTCGCGGAGCTGGAGACGAGCAGCGCGGATCCAAGGGATCAAAACATCAGGGACCTCACCCTTGGTGCGCAAGGGGAAGACCGTGGTGTAGCGCGTGTAGTCGTCGACAACCAGCAGGAAGTACCGCTCGTGGCCCTGTCCACGGACTCGGGCTGGGCCCCACACGTCCAGGTGGAGAGTCTGCAGAGGAGCCTCTGTGGGAGGGAACGAGGAGGAGTGAGGAGCGGCGCGCTGCCGCCCCTCGACGCAGGGAAGACAGGGAGGAGCAGGCGAGGGCGGGAGGGGAGGGAGAACCCTGGGAAGACCAGAGACAAGGTACCGGGAGTGCATGCCACGAAGGCGCTGCACTGACGGGTGACCAAGACGGTGGTGCCAAAGAACCGTCTGGTGCGACAGGGAGCGACACGAGCAGGGGGCCGACAGCTGACCTGACGCAGACGCAGACGCAGCTACCTGAGGGGACTCAGTGGTCAGTGTGTACAGGTCCGACCCCGGCTGCCGAGTGAAGGTAGCTAGGTGGCGACCTGTCCTAGCACACGTACAGTGGGTCACACGCTCATAGGCAGGGGTGAACTGGTGAACACCCCCATCCTGAAGAGCAGAGCCCGCCACCAAGTTCGTAGAGAACGAGGGGAGGTAAAGGCCCGACAGGGTGCTGGACGGGACCGCAGGACAAGGGAGGACAGTGGAGGAGGTCGCAAGGACCGGGCCCCCAGAGGGGTCAGCGAGGGAGACAGCAACTGGCCGAGCTAGCTGCTCAAGGGCAGTGCAGTCACGGAAGAAGCAGCGGGAAGCACCCGAGTCGAATGTGAAGGTGTGCAGTGCCTCAGTAGACGCAGTACCAGCAAGCGCAGACGCACTAGCACCTGGGGGAGCAGACGCACTAGCACCAAGAGCAGCAGCCTCACCAGGACCTAGGGCAGTAGACGCACGCGTACCAAGAGCAGCAGCCTCACCAGGACCTAGGGCAGCAGACGCACTAGCACCTGGAGCAGCTGTCTCACTGGTCCCAATGCCCGGGTCGGGCGGTACACTCAGGTAACAGTCACCCTCAACACTAATAGTCAATGCATACATGGCACCAAGGATAGCATCAAAGTCAAGAGCAAAGATATCAATGTTCTTCCTAAGCAGATCAGCCCAGCGGGGCAGCTCAGTGGCGTCAGGAAACTGCTCACGCCAGGCGTCGTCGAGACGAAAGAAGCAGCGCTGCGCCGTTTGGAACCTCCCACAGGTCTGGCCAGTGCGGTCACCTGTGCGGATGACGTACGGGCAGGTACCTCCACCCCCAGACCCCCCACGCTGAGAGTACCACTCACGGAGTTGCTGGGGCGAGGGAGTCTCGCCGGACGCTGCTGCTGCTGCCTCTGGCCACCGCCGAACCCCCCACGCTGCACCGCTCCACCACGCCCGCCACCCGCTCCACCGCCGCCACCACTGCCACCACCGCCCCCACCACCCCCACCACCGCCGCCGCCACCACCCCCTGTGCCGCCATTGACCCCCCCACCACCCGCGCCACTCCCACTTCTGCCACCACCCCCGCCCCCCCCACCCCCTCCACCGCCGCCGCCCCCGCCTCCACCTCCACCACCCCTGCCCCCCTTGCCCCTGTTGCCCTTGCGCCTCCCACTAGGAGAAGACGCGGCCCCGACCCCCTCAGCTCCGAGGTAGCCGACAGCAGCAGCAGATGCAATGGAGGGGAGGAGGGGGGAGGGGGAGCACCCCTCAAAGAAGGGGGTGCGGGGGTCACCACGAGAGGCACCTACAGCTACAATGCTCTTCTCGGCTGCTAGGAGTTCCTTCTCGAGGAGGTCGACAGTGAGGTCAGTGGGAGAGAGAGCGAGAAACTGGTCCCTGACAGTGCAAAGGGAGTCAGGGAGGCGGGTGACAAGGTGGTACAGTGTGAGGTACATCGGGGGGGGGTTCTTGGCGAGGAAATCGGGGGGGAGCGCGGCACGGTAGCGGAGGTCACTGGTACGGAGGTGGGTGATGAGGTCAGCTACAGTGGCAAACGCGGACAGGTCGGGGAAGAGATAGGGCAGTGAGAGACGGCCTATAGTAGCAGTGGCAGGGGAGGAGTAGCGTGCGACTACTGCGTCGTACAGCTCCTTAGCGGTTTTATGCTGGCCGAAGTGCTCGCGCTCATCTAACGACAGGTGGCTGCGAACGGCTAGGCGAGCGTGAGCATCACGGGTCTGCCACTGGGAGCGAGCAGTGCTGTCAGCAGTAGTGGCAGGTACGGGAGCGGCGCCTGACGTGTGGTCATACAGGGAGACATCGTCTTTGGCAGTGATCTGAAGGAACAGGTGGAGGTCATCTAACCAAACCTCAAACTTAATCGGGCGGCCCTCAGCGTCAAAGGTGAGAACAGAGGGAGTGGCCATAGTGGCAGTAGCAGCAGCAGGAACAGTAGCAGTAGTAGTAGTAGGAACAGGAACAGGAGTTGCTGCAGGTGGGGCACAGTAGGGTGGCGCGGCTCGGCCAGGGCGGCGCGGCTCGGTTTGGGCGGCGCGGCTCGGTTCGGGCGGCGCGGCTCGGTTCGGGCGGCGCGGCTCGGCTCGGGCTGGGCTACGCAGCGGTGCGCAACGTATGGGGGGGGCGTGCGCGTGGGCGGCTGTAGCGGGCGGGCCGTGGCTGTGCGTGGGCCTGACTAGCGCGCGGGCGGCGGCCTAGAGGGGGGGCGTCGCGGCGGCCTACGGGCGGGGCTGCGACGTTCTGGGCGGCGGTCGACGGGCGGCTAGGGGGCTGCTCGTGGGCGGCGCCGGTCGTGCGTGCGGCTAGGGGTCGGCGCGCGGGCTGCTAGCGGGCTACTCGCGCTAAAAAAAAAAGGGCCGCGCGCGGCTCTAGCAAGCTGCGCACGGGCAGCAGGAGGAAGAGAGGCGCACGAGGGCGCACTAGGAGAGAGGCGCTCGAGGGCGCTAAGTAGATACAGCGCTCGAGGGCGCTTCTAGCGGTGGGCCCTTAGGTAAGCAGTCCTAGGACTAGGACCTAAGCTCTTAATACCATCTCAGAAACAAGAAGTGATTGAACTATGAAAGATGGGGTACAAGTATGAAACTGTAGGGTTGTGTACCCCCTAAAGGCTAACCCACTATAGCCTACACAGCAATAACATATAGATAATGTTTGACAATTACGTCGCTACACCGTATCGGTCTACACCCACCGGGCACATCCTAAACAACACCAAACTTTCGGCAGCTGGTCTACAACTATACCAGCAGCAACTAGGGTGCCTTCTCTTTGCAGCAGTCACGTGTCGTCCCGACCTTGCGTACGTCGCAAGCTATCTCGCACAATTTTTACGCTGCCCAAAAGAAGAACACCATCTCGATCTTCAGCGCGCTCTACACTACTTTGTCGCAACACCAACAGTCGGGCTGATTTTCAACACAGGAAAACCGACCGACAAAATGTACCTCAGCGGATATGTCGACGCAGACCACGCTGGTGACACGTCAGATCGTCGGTCACGAACAGGCTACATTTTTTGTCTCGAGCCAATTGGCCCGATCTCGTGGAACTCATCGAAACAAGAACTCGTGTCACTTTCCTCGGCTGAAGCAGAATTCATTGCTGCGTGTGCTGCAACTCGAGAAGGACTATACTTACAGGAACTGCTCGACGAAGCAAAGTTCGTCACACCGAATCAGTTCACGTTGCAGTGCGACAACCAGAGTGCGATTACCATCGCCAACAAACCCGGCTTCGTCAATCGCACGAAACACATTTCACTGCGTTACTTCTTCGTCAAAGATGCGATCGACAAGGGGAGGATGCGCCTTGTCTACTGTCCCACTGGTGACATGGCAGCTGACTCACTTACCAAGAAACTGACACGACAGAAGTTTCACCACTGCAACCAGCTCAGCGGTGTTTCTGAGACAACCGGGTAACTACACCGAACTCCTAGAAGTGAAGGGGAGTGTTGAGATAATATGAAGACTTAAGCACTTCAAGGATTCGTGTAGTACAGTGCGAGACTTCGCACGTAACAGTAAAGTACCGATAGGCTGACGCCAGCAAAGCGCTACGCGCCCTAGGATGACGTCAGCACGTAGCTATAGGCCTCGCGAAAAAGTCACGTACCGTTTCAGAACAGGAATAGCACAGTACAGTAGGCGAACAGGTACTTTACTCTAGCTATATATTTTGTATGTTTGTCATTTTTAAATATATCTGATTTCAGAGACATTGATCCTGAAACATATCACTGCATGGGCTTTTATTAAATCCAGACAAAGCCTCCATAACTGGCTTTAACTCATACAAGACTTCCGCTACGACAGGAAGCTACCATCCTAAGTTTTACGATCCTAATCAATCATCTCAGATTCTATCAAGGATAACCCCTACATAGCCTAGAAAGATAGAAAGCATATACAGTAATGTTTTGACAAATATCAAGCACGAGCAAATTCAGGGTGCAAGGCGCAAATTCACAGCATTATTTTGTCTGCTCGAGGCAGAAGATAAAGCTTTACAGAGCCGCCAACTTTAGAACTCGTTTTGATAAGCAGTTCACTCACACAAACCTTGTCTCCACCCCTCTCCTCATAATCCCCGAAGCATCAGGGTGAACCCTACGTACTACCCACCTATCCGCCTGCGTACATCATCATCGACAAGACGAGGCCCTTTTGGCGGCCACATAGCTCTCAGATTAGCCAGAACTGCCAACTGCCGCAGCCCATCATCCGTTACTTCCGTCCCTTGCACACTAAGGTCCTGCAGCCCTGTCAGCTTCCCCAAATGCTCCATGCCAGCATCTGTTACTCCCTTGTTCTTAGTAAGAAATACCACAATGAGAGAGGAAAGGGGGGTCAAGTGAGGCAGGCCGGCATCGGTCACCTTGGTACGCATGCACCCAATGCCTTTCAGTGCACTGTCTGAAAGACATGTGCCGCTGAGGTAGAGGTACTTGAAGCCCTCTGCATCGAATCCTGAACTTTTTTTGTTTTTTTTTTTTTTTTGGGCTTTAAGGAGATCCCCGGAGGAAACCAACCCCCCGTAGGGAGAAGGCGCTATTGTTCAAGTCAATGCTTTTCAGATGAGTCATGGTGGACACATGGGTGAGGATGGCGTCTGAGAGGCAGGTGAGATCGCTCAGGTTCAGATGGGTTTCTTGTGATGCTGCCTTGATTGCCTGTAGGAAATGGGTGCAGAGGGAATGCATAACAGCCAGCAATAGCGTGTTATGGAACAATACATGCCCTGCGGGCCAATCAAGCCCTGAGAGAATAAATGACCTGATAGACAATACGTGTCATGTGAGACAATACATGCCCTGTGGAACAATGTACTTCTTGGGGAACAGTATTCCAGCACTCACCTCCAGTGCTTTCTTCCGATCGCCCACACTCTGCCTGATTTCCAGCTCGATATTCATCTTCATGTCCTGAATCGTCTGCCATTCCTTACAGGCTGCCAATTCCTCCATGGCACGTGGCCAATTCATCTCCTGCACCTCCCTCCTCTCCTCCCTCTTCCTTGCCAGCTCCGCTCTCATCTCATCCTCTCGCATCCTCACCTCCTCCCGCAGCTCTCTCAAATCTGCTTCTCTCCTCTCAGCTATATCCCGTTGTTTAGCCAGTTCCCTCCTCACTGCTGCCAATTCTGCTGCCATCTCTCCCCCTCTCTCCTCCACCTGCCCTATCATCTCCCTCATGTCCGCTATTCGTGTCCTCTCTAGATGCACGGCAATCACCCTCATGCTCATCACCAACTCCTCTTTCATCTCGTGAGTCCCGGCCATACTCGCTATGACAGTCCAAACGACCTCGCCTGTTCTCTGCATCCCAACACAGGCACACTTCCTGCCTCATAGCAGCATAAGGGTACGCATGGGAACAGACGGGTGTGGCGGCACACAAGAACACAACGCAGCACACCGGTAGCAGCACATGGTACAGAAATGGTTAGAACTCATGAAAACTTAATGCGAGTGGAACATCTGAGGAGGCCAATTGGAAGGCAAGGGTGGAGATTCACAAAGACAGAGACCTCAGCTCTAGGCAGCATGAAACTCTGAGGGCATCTGCTGTCAATAATATCTATGTTGGGCAATGTGAAATACCAAAGTTACAGAGTCGGGAAGCAATACATGAGAAAGCCACACAGCATGCGAGAGTTTTGACTTAGTGAAGGCATGGACAGCGAAGCAAGGGAGAAGGCATGATGTGATCATAAGATGAGGTCAGAGGGTATATGCTTATCACATAAGCCTTAAAGGTATACAAACATTATTGTTTAGAATTGGTCAAGCACAAACCAAGAGGATGCAAATACAAGAAATGGAGCAGGGGGATGAGATTGAGTGATGGTGAAATGAGATGTGGCATGCTCACACGAGGCTGTGCAGCAGAGGGAAGATTCCATGATGCTGCAGCATAGTAGGGGCGAGGAGGGGAAGGCGGGATGACGGTGAAGGGAGTGGAGAGAAGTGAGGTGGCGAATGAGAGAAGATAAGAAGGATATTTGTTCACAGCACGGAGAAAAAGAGGGAGGGAAAGTGAAGAAGTGAAGAAGAGGGAGGGAGAGTGAAGAAGTGAAGAAGAGGGAGGGAGGGTGGGAGAGGGCATGAAGGCGTGGAGAAGTGAGCTCGTAAGGGAGAGGGAGGGGGATAAGATTGCACAAAGATAGGCGGCACTATTGGGAGGGCAGAACGTATTGCATACCATCAGCCCAGCCGTCACAGCCAAGCCCTGCTGATGCACCCATGCTCTGACTTGCGTGTGGGTCACGCCCATCCCCCAGAGGAGTACCACCAGAGTGGCGATGACGAAATACAGCACAAAAACTGGAGGCTGCAGATGTGGGAGGAGAGGGGCATGCGCAAGGAAACACGAACAAGAAATAGAAGGGTGATGGATCACAACTCAACGAAAACTAGTTCCCTATGATTATGGTTGGCTGTACAAAGGTGGAAATCGCAGAAACTTTGATTACTCTATACGTACGCGCACCAGGGTGTGGAGGGAGTGAAGAGGCAAGTTGAGAGCGTGGCCATGCTGAAGGAAGGCGGCGATGGCATTGGCATGAGTGGGAGGTAGGCTCGTGACATTTTGAGACGTGGCAATGACATTGGCCTGAGAGGCAGACAACACATGCACGCAAATGGGGACAAGCACACGCATACACACTCACACAGGTACACATATACGCACCCACATAGCACACGTTTATCACAGAAAGAGTCAATGCGACTACATTAATCGCCGGTCTGCTATCATCCATCGCAATAAAAAAAATAAACAGAGAAAACGGAAGTTGATCATTGTCGACATTAGGATGAAAGCATGACGATGGAGGGAAGCAGAACTCTTTCTTACAAGCGGGAGGGATGCAGAGGGAAGCATGAGAGGGTGGTTGACCTGCTGGTTGTCGCATGGCACCTGCATGAGGCAACTTCAGAAGCATAGGTGCACGCTGAAACACAAGGCAAGAAAATCGTGAAAGCCATGAGCACAAGTGCAAAAAACACACGATGTGCAGATATGTGGAAGTGGGCATGGCTGGCCAGCATGGCAAAGAGCGGCCACCATGCAGTGAACACCTGCCATAGCAGCCGTCACTCACATCCTTGGCTGTGGACTCACGCCAGGCATCCCTGGCAAGTGGCACGATGCTGATGGCAGCGCCGAGAAGGAGAGCCACACGCAGCCCTGGCAGCAGCATGGCCACTGGAGTCATCCGAGCCATGGCTGATGGGGCGAGCCCAATTCAAGGCGTGCGCATGCACAGCACAGTGAGGTGCGGCTGGATGGAACAGGGGAGGGAGGGAGAAGGAAATGAAGACCGAATATGTCATAGGAGGCAACAAGGCCAGGGATGGACAGATGGAGCACACAGGCATGTCAGTTTGTGAGGCAGAGCCGAGGTGTGAGGCTTTGGAGATGACACACAAAGGCACCGACCCAAGGGATTCTGAAGCCGACCATGATGGAGATGAAAAAAATACGTTATGAGAGAACAGGTAAGAGGATGGATATGACACAAGTGACCACATGGAACAGGAGGGATTGGAAAGAACGGGAGTAAGGGGAACGAAGGAGGGAGGAATTGGTTGGGGCAGGATAAGAAAGGAGGGGAAGGAGTAGGAGACGAAAGGAAGGGTGGGGAGGGAGGGGGATGGGGGGATGGGGGGATGGTGAAGGAGATAGAAGGGGTGGACGACGTAGGAGACGAGAGGAGCAGGAGGCAGCAAGAGGATAAGGAGATGGAAAGAAGATGAAGGGGACTGGGATGCTATAAGTTGGGAGCGGAAAAAGGTAAAACAAAAGCAAAAGGCTATAAACAGGCAAAACGCTACGACTTGTGGAGTTAAAAAGAGGATAGAGGCATGGGAAAAAAACAACAGGGTGGGGATACTGTCAACAGCAGAAGCCTACGAGAATGGCTCGCGTCAAGAATAAAATCAAGTGCAGTAAAAAGGGGCGAAGATTGAAGGGATTGCTGAGTGCCGGCAGCGGATGAAGTCGCACAGACAGAGGAAAGGGTAGCAGCACTAGGAGGTATGGGAAGGTGCGAGGCAAGAGTGAGATAGGTGGGGATCAACGCATGTGATGTGATTACCAACGAGGGAATGCATACAGGAAAGGCAGAGAGCAAGACACGTCTTCCACTCCAGTGGGCAGGTGAGAGGAGCAGGACACATTTCGTATGGTGCGCGCGGCAGAGAGGCCGTACCTGGAGTGATTGAGGTGTGTCGAGCTGCCAGCTGCAAGGGAGGCACTTCACTGGAGGCGCCGAGGCGAATGGGGGAACACTTGAGGGAAGGGCGAGGCGGCAGGCGGCTGCAGCGGTGGCAGTTGAGAGTAAGGCACCTCTCCTACTCCAGCGGGATGGGCACCGAACGGAGCGAGTCACTCCACCGCCAGGAATGGCAAGAGGGACTGAAGAGGAGAGGAATGCCGGGAGGGCAGAGGCTACAAGCGGTAAGGTGGTGCGCTCACAAGAGATGAAGGCAGGAGAGAGGATTAATGGACCGTGTACTAGTTTAAGCTGGGCCTTAGCAGACGGGCCTCGTAAAGGGAATGGGGATCAGGAGGGAGAAATGACGGGAGGGTGCAGGGACGGAAGGGAGAAAGGGGAGTGAGGAGGAAGAGGAGGAGGGCGGAGTGGAAGAAAAGAGGGGGGCGGGGGGGGGGGGTAAGTGGCAGAAGAACGGGAGGAGGAAAGAGAGGGGAGGAGCAGGAGACGAAAGAGTAGAGTAGAACAAGGTGGAAAGAAGATGGAGAGAATCGGGATGCTAGAGGTCAGCACAAGCGGAGAAGGGTTACAGAAGCAAAGGCACGAAGAAGGGCAAACAGCAACTTCAGGAGTCAGAGAGGACAGATGCACGGGCAAGAACAACGGGGTGGGGGGGAAACTGTGATGTGAACGAAGTGGAAAAATGACTAATCAACAGCAGAGGCCTATTATGGCATGGTTCCGTGACTACCAATTTACTAAACCATACCAGAATGAACAACAAGACTGATTTCATCAAGAATGGCAGCAGGGTGGGCGGGGAGCGCAGAAAGATAGCGGGGTGAGGTGTGAAGGAAGAGTTGAGTGCATGGAGGTGGCATGGCAAGCCATTCGCACAGAGGAACGGATGGCAGCACTAGGAGGTAAGGCGAGGTGAGAGGGAAGGGTGGTATACGCGAGCAGCAAGACACACGTGATGACGAAAGAAGGAATGCATTCAGATCAGGCTAGGAGCAGGACGCATATGGGAATCAGGTGGGCGGTGGGAGCAAGCTGGTGGGCGGTGGGAGCAAGCTGGTGGGCGGTGAGAGCCGCAGGGCGCATTAGATGGGGCGAGATGGTGGGAGCACAGCAGAGACGCCGTACCTAGAGTGCGAGCAGGTGGCAGTAACGACCGAGGCAGCAGGTGCGCGGACCAGGTGTGCTGAGTGACACCCCCGAGCTGCCAGCTGCGAGTGAGGCGCTTCAACGGAGGGCGACAGGAAGTGGCAAGCGGAAGCAGCGAGGCACCGCGGGCAGTGAAGAAAAGAGAGGAATGGAGGGAGGGCAGAGGCTACACTGGTAAGAAAGGCGAGCTCCCAAGCTGAAGGCTAGGAAGCGAAGAGAAAGGAAATGGATCAGCGCGGTGCAGTTTGAGTTGGGATTGAAGAAAAAGGGTGCAAGAGATGGGCGGGAGGAAGAGAATGGGGAGCGGAGGAGGAGGATGTGTGCGATGCGCGCATTGCGGTTGCCAACGCCCCACTCGCCTTGCTGTCGCACCCATCTCGAGTCGCCTTCTCAATCGCTTCGCTTTCACGCGTTCACCTAGCAAGCAATCGCCGCATTGCAGCACAAATGGCGGCATGCATACTGGACCCCTTCTGCACGTCGCCACGTGGCGGAAAGAGCACGCTACCCTCCCTTGCGCCCAAATCCATCCCGCCGTGCATGTCTTCATTCGGCCGTGTTCGCACCGACAAAAAAGAGTCGCTTCGCATTTCATGCACGGATTCATGGAATAATTCGCCCATAACTATTCTGGACGTTTCGCCCATTACTATCCACGACATTCGTTGGCGTTCGCTTTCGCGACCGCAGAGAAGCACTCTGGGGGTAGGAATGTAGCCAGTGCGTGCTTGCGCCGGGGAGCTGGTCGCAGCATCGTGAGACTGAGGACGTAGGATGATCAAATCCGACGGTAGATCTGAGGACTTATCTAGAATTCCCAGATCCGACGTTAGGTATCACGTTCCTAGCTCTGGCCTCCACACTTGAGTTGAGATGGGCGTGAGTTGAGTTGAGTTGGAAAGGGAGGCGTGAAGGGGATGGAGGTGAGGGAGGGTATTGAAGTCCGGATATGGATGAGCGAACTTCAATCAGGGTGCACTGCTTTCGCCAAGCACGTGTAACTTCAATCATCGTTTCAGATTCTCTCGTTACTGCCCAATCTGTTACAATCGTGAGACACATCTCATTTCGTCAACAAAGCAGCTTCCGGGTTGCCTTGTTGGGTGCATGTTATGAATGAACTTGCAGAGTGCGCAGAATAATGAATAACGAGGATTGTTGAGTACTCAATTGATACAATGAAAGTGACGAGGCCTAAATAGGGGAAGTCCTAGAGGTAGGGAGAAGATGGCTCGGTGATGGTTGCGGTTGGGGCGGAGGCCGATTCGGGGGTGGTTCGGTGCGACGAATTAGGGCGAACAGGTTCGTCGCGTGACCCTCGGGATGACCTCGCTAACGAGTGCCTCATTAAGGATTTGTAAATCCTTACACTCTCCCACCTTCTAAATAGGGCAGCTCTGTACTGAGAACAGACCCCACACTAGCAAGGATGCCGTAGACCTCCTCTTTGGCTGAATCCGACGGCTGGAAATGTCTTCAACAATTTTGAAGAAAGGTTGGAATTTCGGCCGTTGATGAAGTCAGATGTCGATCTGACGGTCGAAGATGAACTGGCCCAAATGAATGGAAAGTTGGAATGTGGGCCGTAGATCGAGCAGCTGTAGATCTGACGGTTGAAGATTGACGCGAAAAGAGAGGGAACCTGCTGACGCGAATGCAAACGCGATTGAGCAGGGACCGTAGATCGTGTCGGTGTAATCGCGATCGTCCGTCGTGCTGACGCTACCTGACAGAGTCAGAAAGGACCGAGAAAAACGCCAATGAAAGAACAGTGCAAAGCACTTTCTCCCCCCCTCCAAGAAAACTGTGCACAAAATCTTCACAGCTGCGCCGAAGTAAAATCCAACAGCACCAGGTGTGAAGTCCCATGAAGAAGAGCATCGAGCGTAGATGTCCAGGTGAAAACGTGTCGGTGTGGAAAATCGATGACGAAACCCGTAGTACGTGCCTAGAAATTCTTCGAGGGCGAACCAGAAGATGTAGCCCGGAAACCGTGTTGAAATAATCAAATACCTCGAACTGTGAATTCTTGTCGTGACTCATCCAGAATCTTCGGTCGTACTATAGCCGCCCACTCGGTCACCAGCTGTTTCCGTCAGTTCACCAGAACCCATCTGGGGGCATAATCTGGAACTGGGGACTTAATCTGGAACTGGGGACTAGACCTGGGTTTTCCGAGACCGAATTTCACGGATCCTAGAGGCATCAACGCCGTTGACCCCGTCGTCTAGACTGCTTCCGCCGATGATGGTTTAACAAAATAACACGCAAACTCCCACTGGCGCTTTGCAAATGTTTCACCTAATCGCTCGTCGCCGACAGGTAAATCCCGAAACTTCGGTTGCTCCCACGCTCCCTTTTACTGAAGAATTTCCCGCTCTGTACATTTAAATACCCGTAGGTTCTATGTATCCCCGCCGCTGTGTTTCTTGCCAGGCGACTTTAAAAAGTGACGCTTCAGGCGAATGTCAGAATATTTGCTCTAGCCTGTAGTGGGGTGCTCTATAGCGAGTACAACCCTTCTAGGGTTTGCTATTTGTATCCTCATTCTTGCTAGTGCAACTCCTCCTTCTTTGCCTAAACTGTTTCTTGCCTAGCTAGGGCTTTCCTAGCTATGGCGCCTTCTTCTACTGCTTACTTTCACATGGTATTAGAGCGATATGCTCCTGGCCTGTGGGCCCCACCTCACTGCTTCCGCTGCTACTGCTACTCCCTGTCCGCCGCGCGCCCCGTGGTGCGCGGCGTCGAAATTAGGGTTTTTCAGCCCGCCGTGCGCCCCGAGGCGCGCGGCGGTTTTCTGCCCGCCGTGCGCCCCGAGGCGCGCGGCGGTTTTCTGCCCGCCGTGCGCCCCGAGGCGCGCGACGGGTTTCTGCCCCGTCACTCGGCGCGTCGCCCCCAGGAGGCGCTACGACGGGCGACGGGGACCCGCGCGTCGCCCCCCGTCGCCCGTCGTGGCCTGCGCGCGGCCCGTACAGCCGGCGCGCGGCCCGTACGGGCTGCGCCAGGCCCGCGCGCGGCCCGTACGGGCTGCGCCAGGCCCGCGCGCGGCTCGGGCCGCCTGCGCGCGGTTCGGGAGGCTGTGCCAGGCCCGTGGGCGGCCCGTTCTTCGCTGCCCCTGTCCTCCCCGCTGTCCCCCGTGCTTCTGAAGGCGCCCCACCCCTCCTTCTGCCCGTTCTCCTGGATTAGGGTTTGGGGGTGGGGGGTATGGGGGTGCAGCTTCTGTGTGCCGTTCCCTGCTCCTCCTCCTCCTCCGTCTCCCTGTGCTGCAGCTGCCGCTGAGGGGGGGTGGACCTGTTGGAGCCGTCGGAGTGGTACTAAGGGAGGGTGAAGGGGGAGTGGAGCTAGGGGTGAAGCAGGGGGTGTGTGTCAGGGGGGGTGGTACTGTTTGGGGGAGGTTGAACGGAGGTTGCCGTCGTGTCGCCAGCAGCACCTGTAGTCCGGGGAGTTGCTCCGGTAGCCCAGTCGTAGCCACCTGTGCCAGTCGCCCGTAGGTCCGTTGCTCGTCTGCCGCTACTTTTAGCCACGGGGCCAGTTACTCCAGTAGTCCGGAGCGCTGTTCCGGTAGCCGCTGTGCCAGTGTGCCTCCTGTTGCCCGTGTGTCTGCAGCTTCAGCCGTCGCCTCCTATCTCCTCTCCTCTCACTGTCCCTCCTCCTCCTCACTTGCCCGTTGTGACTACCACTAGCTTTGCTCATAATTGTGAACTTTAAACTATTGCTTCCTGAACTTGTGCTCAGAATGTGTGGTGACATTGTGATCCACCCTGAGCTTGTTCTGCTTTGCTTGCTCTGCTGATTACACCCCACTTTGGCTATGGGGGTGTGTCAGAATATTATGCTCTAGCCTGTAGTGGGGTGCTCTATAGCGAGTACAACCCTTCTAGGGTTTGCTATTTGTATCCTCATTCTTGCTAGTGCAACTCCTCCTTCTTTGCCTAAACTGTTTCTTGCCTAGCTAGGGCTTTCCTAGTTATGGCGCCTTCTTCTACTGCTTACTTTCACAGCGAAGTCCCCCAACGGTTCAACCGCACTCCAAGAAGCGAAGAACACCCTCAGCTTCAACTCATATGTTTTTTTTCACAGTACGAAATCACCCGAAAATCGTGGTTGAGGCAGCAGTCCCGAAGTTTTCTCCGCCGTGTAGCCCCGACGTTTCCGCCGTCAACCCTGGTATTCCGACGTTCACCCGTCTTCATACCCGTCGAAGCCACTTAGCAGATCCCAGGTATCATTGGCGATTCACCCCTCGTCGTGCTTCCATGTTTAGAATATCCGACCCTTTCGGCGTCCACCTAGTAGACCCCGAAATTCACGGTAGAGTGATGCTTGGGATCAACCACACTCCAGTGATCTGCCGGATCACCCACAACTTTCCCTCCGTCATTTTTTTTTTTTTTTTTTTTTTGTCTTCACCCCCCGACAATTTCGCCTGCGCCGTTCACCCAGCGTCCGCCCTTGTCGGATGGGGTATCGTCGTCGCTGCCCGCGCGAACCCGGCCACGTTGGAGAGGCAAAAACTATCGGAGTCGGGGTAGCCTTAGTTAAAAGGAACTATCGCCCAACCGTTTTGCAGCCCGCCGTGCCTATCATGCTACGAAAATTCTACAGCTTCCTGGTCTCAGCTTCGCCGCTGCGCCGTCAATTCGTGTAGATGCCCGGGTCAGGAGAAATCCGTAAACTGCACCAATGTTGTCCTTGCGGCACCCTGATTTTTTTCGCGTGCCGTTCACCCAGCCCGCTTTTGTTGGAGTAAAACAGTGCCGCGAGCTCCATTTTTTTTTGTCTTTTCTGTACAGCCGTCGAACGAACACCAATCCATGTGTCTTTAACCAGCACAGGGTAGGCGCGTGTTCACCCCCGTTATTCGGCCAAGTAAGTTGACTGCATGAGTCAGAACTAAGACTTGGTGGGGATGGTGAGGTTCGGGCGAAGTAGGCCGCAGATCGGTTCCACCGGCTTTTAATCTGCTCCCACGACGTTCTTCAACCCTCGCTTAGCCGTTGGGCCGTTTCTTCCCGTGTGTCCCGGCAGCCTGTACCGACCCCTCCGAAATTGTCGGGCGGTA